CCTATTGGGGATGTGCCTACAACCTTGGTACATGCCCTTGACCGGAATCAAACCTGGGACCCTTGAATCCACAGGCTGATGCTCTATATACTGAGCCATTTAGGGCATTTCTCCCCCCCCCCCCGCCCCCCCCGCCGCCCTTTTAAAAAAATTCTTCCTTTTCTTTTTTTGTTCTACTTATAAAATATTACCTATCTGGATTGAATTTTATGCAAGTTTATGAACAAATAATTCGACATTTATTCAAATCCCAAGGCAGACCCCTTTGTGCTGTCTATTGCATTGTTATCTGCTTAATTGGAATTACCAGGAACTCTCTTAAGTCACACAAGATGATTGGATGTAAGACCCTGGGCCCATCCCAGTTCTTTATAGGATTTCATATTGTGTTCCTGTCTTTTATAAAGAGTTAATGTAATAAATAGCTATATGAAATAACATTTCTGCATCTTATGTAAAACAGCTATTAAAGGCAATATATGTTATATTAGTGTTTGTTACTCAAGGATCCTAATAATAAAGTCCTTGCAAATATAAATTCCATGCGATGAAAAAGTTTAGTCATTTGTTTGTTTTCTTTTTGGATGGATTGATTATATCCTTTGAGGTATTGAAAGCTACGTAATTATGGTGATTGCTCATCATATTTCTAGAGTTCAGATTGTGTTAATATCTTCAGATTGCTGCCTAGTGGTCTTTTACTAATCATTAACACTCTTCCAGATGGTGAACAGGAAAAGATGCTTAATCATTTTCAGGAAAAGTTATACATTTTATTTATGTCACCTTGACTCCTACCTACTACTAGAAATGGGGGGTTGTATTCATCTAAATTAGGCTCATTTATTTATATCCTTTGCTTTAGAGAATAATATCCAAATTAAAGACTGGAATGAATTATATTAATAGGTATCCTAGATACTGACTTATTATTTACTAAGTGCCACTTAATAATAAGTGCCACTTATTATTTACTAAGTTTATATTTTTAAACTTTTTCATCCTCAACCCTTTAGGGTTAAAATCAGTAGCATTTTGCAAACATATTTGATGACAGAGCCCCTTCCCTGAATCTTAAGGAACTGGTGTTCAATTGAACATATTTTGGGAACCAGAAACCTAAGTGTATTGGTCATACCCCTAACTATTTGTACTTGAAGTTGAGTCTCTTACAAATTGGAAATGAGCTCCTCTGCCTAAGGAGACTTTGGTTCTGGTCTGGCTTCCTGCATGTATTGTGTGTTCCTGACACCTGACAAATGATTACACCTTGACCTCTGTCTGGTTTGGGCTATTAATCCTTTATCCCCCAGCTCTCTTCATGTAGGTTCAGCCCTAGCCCTGTTAGCCTTTGTCTATCTTGTTGTTGACTCACCTTGAGAGAAAACAAATGTTTCTCTTTATTAGTCGAGTCTGAGTATTATAACATTAATTCTTGATTCAATCAAACACCCCCAAAAAAGGGTGGGTTTGGGATAGTTAGTGACATAAAAGACAACTTTTACTGGTCTAGTTAAATATCAATATCAATAAAATACAGTAGAGTTCAGTGGATAGATCATTGGACTGAAAGGTCCCAGGTTTGATTCTGATCAATTGCATGTACCTTGGTTGCGGGCACATCCCTAGTAGGAGGTGTACAGGAGGCAGCTGATCGATGCTTCTCTCTCATCGATGTTCCTAACTCTCCACTTTTCCATTAAAGATGGCGAGATTTTCCCGTCTAAGCCAGTCTGTAGCTCCGGGAGGGGACCCAGCCCTACCGTGGGGGCTTCCCTGTCAGGGGCATCCTGATTATCAGCCTCCCACCTTCTCCTGGAGTTCACCTGTCTCTTAGCTTGCTAACAAACACTCCCAGCACAACCCTCAGCTGTTCTCTCTTTCTGCTTTGGGACAAGGCTCAGAACCTGTCCATCTAGTCTTCCGCCATTTTTATCTCCTCTCGATGTTCCTAACTCTCTATCCTTTTCCCTTCCTCTCTGTAAAAAATCAATAAAATATATATATATTTTTTTAAAAAGCAGAGTTGTCATTTGTGGATACTTACATGATGTGGATTCACCAAGACACACTTCACATCCTGCCCCAGGTATTGAGAAAAAATAGTTTAAATGCAAGGCAGTTAGATTTTATGTTAGGGAATGCCATTATTGGAGGCCTCCCATAATTTAAAATTTGCATATCCAAGATTAATTTTTCATAAAACTGACATAGGAATGCAGGTATTTCTTTGCTGTCTGAAGTTGGCACCACCATCAGGGGTAGCAAAAACATGGTTTCCTATTCACCTGGCCCTCTAGCTTTAAAATTGTGTGACTGTTACCATTTAAAAAAAATGTATTTCTATTTTTTCAGATGCTGCTGATCATGTGAGAATTTATTAATATTTTTATGCTATGCTATTTCAAATTTGAATGACTCTGATTTTATAAATTGCTACTGCATTATGTAGCATTGGTGCCTTCATCCACCAACCCATTCCATTTGTAAGAGAGACTTTAATCTGTTAAGAAGTATGACTGCTATTTCTTTCTTTCTTTTCATAGTAGAAAATAGCACTCTGCCCTATAAATGCAAACCAAGTATTTCATCAGGCCTCACCCAAAGAAACTGAAATCTATTGAATGTTGGAAAAAATACTCAATTTACTGCAAGTTACATCACTCTCCAAATGTCATGTAGTTTTAAGGGATGTTCAAAGATAATTTTGAGTATACATGGTTCTTCTCTTTATGTGCCTACTTTAGAACTTTACCTCCCACATAAGATGTGACTCTACTTGAAGGTAATAGGCATTATTTGTTGCCAACCCAACATTCACCACTGTTCTTTCTTCCTTAAAAAAACCCCAAACTTATTTTTATGGGTTTCTACTCATTATATGACTAAAGAGAAGATTATCCTAATAGTAGTTTCAAGAGTGAATCTTAGTTTGTCTAGGCTCATTACCACATCTCCCCCTCGCAACCCCCCCAAAACACACACACACACACACACACACACACACACACACACACACACACACACAGGCAATGCCAGTGATTCCTTTCAGACTGGTCGAGTAATCCAATTCTGACCTATGAGATACAAGATGAAGTCAGTTGAGGGGTTTCTGTAAAGATTTCCTTGATTCTTAGAAAGGGGCAAAGACAGAAATAGTTCTCCTTCTTCCTAAACATGTTGCTCATCTAAATGTGACTCCTGCAGTCACTGCCATCTTGCTACCAGTCTTCTGAGGATGTCAACATCAAGAATGGAAGAGAGAGCAGAGAAGGTCAAATCTAGGTCCTTGAAGATATTGCTCAGTACTTTAATCAACCAGTTTTGAAATCCCCCTAATTTCTTCCTCTGAGATGTATCAGTAAGCACAGGCTGTCATAACAAAATACCGTAGATAAGTGGCTTAAACACCAGAAATGTATGTCACTCAGTTCTAGAGGTTGGGAAGTCCAAGATCAAGGTACTGACTGACTTGTCATGGTGAGGATTCTCTTCCTGGTTTGCAGACAGCTTACCTTCTCACCTTGTAATGATCCTCAGTTGCACCTTCGTATGTGCACAAGGGTGGAGAGAGCTCTCTTCTTCAATTTATAAGGCCACCAATCCTATTGGATTATGATTCCACCCTTATGATTCCACTTAACCTTAATTACCTCCTAAAAGCCTTATCTTCAAATAGAATTACATTAGGGGTTAAAGCTTCAACATACAAATTTTGGGATGATAAAAATTCAGTCCATAGCAGATAACAACAAATGTCCTTTATGTTGTTTAAACAAGCTTGAATTGTTTTCATCTACTGTTATATATTACTGAATACATCCTAACAGATATCATGTCTTATGAAGCAATACACAAAGGATAGTGTCTAATTCATGACATATAACACAAGAAGATCAAAGGCTATTTTTCTTTTCTTCGAACAAACCAGTTATAGAGTTAAAACTGGTTAGTTCATGGCTGTCAAAGGGCATTTCATGAACTGCTGATTGTACATATATGTGGTATCATGTTAACATAAACAGTCCAGCCCTGAGGGGGTTTTAAGTTATAAAAGAAACATTTTTCTAAGATCATGTGCTCTGATAAAAAACCATGCTCCAGCCCAGTTCTATTATTATAGAGTTCTAGCAAGCCACGAGACGTTAGACAGTGATTTTATCAAGCAAGACTTCTAACTAATGGCTTGACGAAACCATCACTGCATCATAAAACACTGTTACAGATTGAAATGACGATCCCCTTCAAGAATTCTGTAATTTTAGATTATTGCAATTCAGTCCACAAAAATGCTGTATCTCAGGGATCACCACAATCCTACAAATAAGAATACACGTTCGCCTTTATGCCTGAAATGAATCAGTTATGTTTATTCTTGCAATTCAAGTCTAATTTGTATAACTATCTTCCATAAAAAGGGTGGAGTACAGATTTTATCCCACTCTGGTAAAGCTCTTATGAAACATTTTACCTATCATTTGGTTACATGATATACAAAGTAATTTTATATAGTCTCCCAAAAGAAAATTAAATAAGTAAAATTATATTAAAGTGAAGGGTTTTGATAACACTGTCAAAACTCATTTTTTTTTTTCCTAGCCTTGGAAGTAGAAATAAGAAAAGCACTTACCAAATTTTAAAAACAAAACCCAACAAAAATCAAACTCCACCGAGAAACAAATGAAGAGAGAAATACATTTGTATATAGATGAATCCATATGAAAGCCAAGGAACATGAACCATTTTGAAATCTTAAACCTCCAGATATGATTTTTTGAACTCGGTAACACAAACCATGATGGAAGTGATTTTCTGCAAAAAATTTGCTGGTTTCTCCGTGTATCGTATCATTGGCCAAATGTGACATTAAATTTTATCCCCTGTGGCTTGGAGTTAAATGCTTGCTCTGTGCAGAATGGCAACACTCAATTAAACAGCATTTTTCATGATCTACACCCACCATTGTTACCGTATTTAAGGGAAATAATGGGGGTACTGACCTATATTGCGTTTCTTATTATCAATGGAGATGAAGCGTATGCAGGGATTACTGGTGATGTACTGCCCGGCCCAAGGGACATCAATCTTCGTGCCAGCTTCATAAAAGAGTCCCAGAGCGTAGCGAGAGGAGTAGCTCACAGACTCCAGTTCCTGCCGTTGGTGTTCACTAATCACTGTGGAAAAAAAAGTAGAGGTCATCAAACTTGCAAATATCATCTTTCCTGTGAGTACATCAAATACGAAAGTCCTTTAAACCAGCTCCAACTGGTTCCACTAATCCCATCTCACTCACAATGAGTTTTGAAAGGTCATGTGAAATAACATCAGCTTTCATTTCTTTTCAGAATGATTACTGACCTTGGCACTATGGTTTTTACCAAGTCGAAGGTCCAAACTTCTTAGACTGGCATTCAAGGCTCTCAAAAATTTGACACCAATTTGCTTTTCTAGCTTTGTATCCTAGTTACTATCATGGGACTATCTGGCAACAATATATATTCCATATACTGAGCACTCACTATAAGTTAGAATCTTTGCCAAACACTTGACACAAGCATTTCAATCTATTCCAACAACTGCTGTATATGGTAGAGTGTTATTCCCCTGTGACAGTTGGGGAGACCAATGCTCCATCCCTTATGAACTCTTAAAATTTTCCATGTCATATAGAGATTTGTTAGCTTCTCATCTTCCTGCCAGGATTATAACAGTCCCTTACGTACAGGACCACACCTTCGTCATCTTAGTTATAGGCCTCTACCCTATTTATTACAGGAACACCAATGATGAAAGTATAAAGGTACAGAAAGGCAAGCATAGACATGCAAAGTTAAAATGTAAGAGGTAAATAACAAATGGAAAAAGATTGGGAAATGAATTAGGCAGGTTTAGGTTCAAATCTTGACTTTGCTACTTACTAGGTATGTGACATTGGTCAAGCTACTTAATTATTCTAATTATAGTGCTCTTGTCTACAAGTGGCAATACCAGTACAGGATGTATTAGCATATTGTGAGGATTACATGAATAATGCATGTCACAGTGCTTGGCATAGAATAAGTGTTCATTAGATAGGCACTTTTTCTATTACAGAGAAGAAATTATATAGGAAAATGTGAAAGTGTCCATCCTGGGGTGTAGAAGGAAGAAATCTCCTTCACTTTTTTTATTTTTTAAAATATATTTTATTGATTTTTTACAGAGAGGAAAGGAGAGGGATAGAGAGTTAGAAACATTGATGAGAGAGAAACATCGATCAGCTGCCTCTTGCACACCCCGTAATAGGGATGTGCCCGCAACCAAGGCACATGCCCTTGACTGGAATCAAACCTGGGACCTTTCAGTCCGCAGGCTGATGCTCTATCCACTGAGCCAAACTGGTTTCAGCCCTTCACTTTTTAATCTCCATCTCCAATCTTCCTACCCTAAAGAGTCTTGGGGAACTGCTTGCTCATACATGTACAGCATTAATAACATGCATCTCAGGGAAGGCCATAATTTTGTTGTGAAATTTAGGCAGATTGATTAATAAATGGAACATAGGAGCCAGCCAGTGTGGCTCTGTGGTTGAGCATTGATCTATGAACTAGGAGGTCACAGTTCCATTCTTGGTCAGGACTCATGACCGGGTTATGGGCTCGATCCCCAGTAGGGGGCGTGCAGAAGGCAGATAATCAATGATGCTCTCTCATCTATTGATGCTTCTCTCTCTCTCTCTCTCTCTCTCTCTCTCTCTCTCTCTCTCTCTCTCTCTCTCTCCCTCCCTCCCTCCCTCCCTCCCTCCCTCCCTCCCTCCCTCTTGCTCTCTCTCTCCCTTCTCCTTTCCTCTATGAAACTTGTATATATATTAAAAAAATAAATGGAAAATATAAAAAGTTTTCATTAACTTAGTGAAAACCATCCTAAAATATCCTAATCTAAAATAGTAGGGATAGGCAGACCTCAAGGATGAAAGCTAACTGTAGCTAAACCTTAGAGTAATGACTTTAGGAAGTCAAGAGAAGACAATAGGGTATTCAATGTATTACTTAAGTACAATAATAATCTTATATATGATCATAACATATTCTACAAAACAGTTTAGAACTAGACCTCATTTAATCTTCACAAGAACCATGCAAAGTAGATGTTTTTACTCTCTTTTTATATCATTAGGTAGCTGAGATTCACAGTGTTTCAGGAACTTGCCGTAGGTTACCCAGCTCCCAACTCGTGGGGGTCAAGATAAAGCCACAATTCTCAAATTGAAGTTAGGCACCGGTACTCATGAATCCATACTATCCCTTTGTGCTCTGTAAGTTTGAATTTCAAAATGAACTTTGGCATTGCTTTCTCTTTGGACAATAATGATTATTTTGTACTCACTTAGAAGTATACCAGGAAGCCATCTCTCCTTTAACCACCATGTTCTGTTTATTAAAAGATGTTAACCTATTTGATGAACAAATGATCTGACATTGGCCTCATTATACTCCATGTATCTCAGACTTCATTTTTGTATTTAATCTGTTTTTAAAGTTATAGGCTTGATATTATGCTTAACTGATCTCCCAGAGGAAAGAGGTAAAGGATTAATACTAGCAGTTGAGCATATATTGGGGTCTTATTACTAAGCTTCCCATTTTTTTTCAATTAAAAAACACCAACAAAACTGTATAGTCAGCTATTTAGTAATTGAAAGGGCCTAAAACTCTTTTTTTCTTTAAACCAAAAGTGAAGGGTCAACTAGGCTGACAACTAAACTGGATCTTCCCACCCCCATATGCACAATTTGCACATTTAGCTAGTTTTTAGATAAGCTACCAAGTGGCAGATCCCACGGGGTAATCCTTTAAAAACATAATTGATATCTATATGGAAACAGAAATTTACCTTAAACACTCTAGTCTGTTCTGGGGGCTCTAGTCATTCTGAGAACAGGGAGGTGAGACTTCTGACTGAAACAACTCAATTACTTACAAAAAATTCATCTCCAAGGGCTTTAAAAGTCTTTGATTGTTGCAGGATTTAAAAAAATGTTCTGATTTTGTTTGAAAGTTTTTCTTATGCAAATGCCACAGGGAGCATCTCTAGGTCTAATATATATATATATATATATATATATATATATATATATGAAAGAAAATTGACAGTTTTCTGTCATTGTGCTATATTATGTACTATCATGTGCCATTTATCCAAAAAACTAAATCTCATATAAAAATGACCATTTCAGTAAAATGAATCTTTACCTGGATGCTATCCTAATTTAATTCTGAACTACTATGATTATATAATCTCTGTACCTATACACATACGTACATATAATATTGAATGCACTTTTTGACTATACTGTGAGTAAAGTGACTATAAATTGTATTGAACAGGGTCGTCGTTTACATTCTTTCATCAATAAAAAGAATTATTCTATTATATCATTCTTGTACCTATGCCTGTGTGTGCATGTGAGTGCGCATGTGTAGATTTGGGGGAGGTGAAGGACAAAGGGAGAAATGGGAAGTGAGAGAGGGAGGGAGGGAAGGAGGGAGGGAAGAAGGTGTGAGAGAGAGAGAGAGAGAGAGAGAGAGAGAGAGAAGACCTAGGCTGTGCTCCCGAAAACATTAAGTAATTTCATTTGTCGTCTCCTAATGTAATCTCATTTTTTCAGTTTCCTAACCTATAAAAGAAGACTAAAGATACACATTCTGCCTATTCATTCATTCATTCATTCATTCATTCATTGTCTACTTTATGCCTGGCACTGTTCTAGATGTTAGAGATATAAACATAAGATAAGGTCCCTGCTCTCATGTAGCTTATATACCAGTGGTGGAGAGACTAATTATCTTATATAATAAAAGCCTAATATGCCAAGTGTCTGAGCATTCTTTTGCTCAGTCACTATAATGTGCACTGACCAGCAGGGGGCAGATGCTCTGATTGGTAGGTTAGCTTGCTGCTGGGGTCCAGCCAATTGGGACTAGGTGAGAAGGTCCAAACACGCTCTGGAGCCCTCCCATGGCCCCTCTCCAGCTCCGAGGGGTCCCTCAGGCTGGCATGCACCCTCTCACAATCTGGGACCTCTCAGGAGATGTCAGAAAGCCAGTTTTGGCCCGATCCCCGCAGGCCAGGCTGAGGGACTTCACCGGTGCATGAACCCATGGACTGGGCCCGTAGTAAATAAATAAAACTAAATGGTATGTCTGTTGGTAATAAGAGCTACAAGGAAAATTAAAGCAAGGTGCAGGAGTAAAAGTGATGGGTATGGGTAGTGAGGCTGTCAAGGTATATGCATCTTCGGAGGATTTTATTTCTATAGGCTGTCAGGGCATATGTATCCTCGGAGGATTTTATTCTGATTGACATGTGAAGTTACTACCAGTGTTGAGTCAAGGACAGATACAACCCAGCTTCCATTTTAACAATTATTCTGGCTACGGGGGAAGACTGCAGGGATACCACAGAGGAGTTAGGGCACACAGCTTTGCAGTAGTCTTGAATTGGAGAAAGCAATTCAAGAGGTCATGAGTGGTTACATTTGGGATGGAATATTTGCTTATGTATGTGTATATAATATGTGTACATTATATTTTTCATATGTGTGTGCATCCATGTGTATATATAAGTGTCACACACAGAGACACATATATACCTATATCTGATGTAATTTTTAATTGAGGTTTAACATACATACAGAAAAGTATGCCTTCATGAATTTTCATGAAGTGAACCTACCAGTATAATCACTCAACTATGTTAAAAAAAAAAAAACCATATCAGTACTAGAACCCCAGAAGTTGCCTTCTCCCTCCTTTTCAAGCACACCCTGCCAAGAATAATAAGTAATCCAGAATTCTAACACCACAGATTTGTTTAGCTGGTTTTGAACATCACATAAACAAAATGATGCAGTCTGTACCCATTTGACTGCCTTCTTTTACTTAGCATTATGCTTGTGATATTTATAATTGTTGTTACATGTAATTGTAGTTAATTATAGTTTATGTGAAAGAATATTGTATAGACTATATATATACTACACTGTATTTATCCATTCTACTGCTGATGGACATTTGGATTGTTTGTAGTTTTGGGCTATTACAAATGTAAAACGAAGAACATCTGTATGTGTTTCTCTTTGGCCTATATACCCAGTACTGGAATTCCTGCTTCATGGGTTCCCTTATAGTCACCG